GTCATATTCAATTTATTATATTAATTTTATACCAAAGGGCAATGTTGCTATAGTACTGGTAGTCCTCAACTTACAATCACAATTGGGACCAGAATTTTGGTCATTGGGCAATATGATTATTAAGCAAGATGCCCACCTGATTGCTTCACTCAACAAATGCAATCCCAGCTCTTCTAGTTGTGGTCATTGGGCAACCATATGGGTTGTGGACGGAGTGAAAGAGCTGCTTGCCAAAGGACAGAGGGCAACTCCTCTCAGTGCACAGAAAGGAATTGCAGTTGCAGGCTGGGGAAACGAAATTCAGATCATAAAGAGCAGAGCTCTTTCTCCAGCCTGCCAGGTTCTCCAAGGACTTTCTGAAGAAGTCAGCAGAGAAAATTGCAAATAACGATCACATGATCACAGCCAAGATATTTAGCATTCAATCATAAAAGCAAATAGGTTGCCATGTGCCTGAAATGTGACTGCAGGGACAGCAGTCGTAACTTTGAGGACAGGTCGTAATTAGCTTTTTAAAAGTCCATTGTAACTTCAGTAGTTACATGACCGGCCAGCAAGGATGATCTGTTTGCAAAACCTAAGAACAATTCCTTTGAAAACATCCAGAATCCTGTTTTCAAATGAATGATTATAGTAAGCATTATTTGTAGTCAGAAAGACTTTTGGTGAAGAGCTGAAGATATGCATATGATTGGTTAAAAACATAAAGCAACAATTGCAAGATGAAATGGGAAATTTCATTTGCTTCAAAAGACACAACTTGACAAACTGTGAATCTGCTTAATCCAGTAATTAAAGCTTAATTCTATAATTAAACACCTTAATTATTTTGGCTATAATTGGGTATGTGCCAGTTTCTGTATTCAAAAAGGAAATATGTGTACCTTAAGGTACACATAGCTCTAAGGAGCATGTTTTGGCAAAAATCCATTTCATAAGGGGCAGAAATTGTTCTTAATACTCTTACATCAGTGGTGAAATCCTACCAGTTCGCACCACTCCGGTCGAACCAGTAGTGATAAAAGCTACCGGTTCAGCGAATCAGTAGTAAAAAAATAAGCTATGGGTTGGTATGAATCAGTACTTCCGACAATCAGCTATGCTGTGTGATTTAAAATCGCTAGAAAGCAGGAAATCCTGCTTTCTAGTGAATCTAAATTGCACAGCACAGCTGTTCCCCCCCATCGCTGTTCTACTTACCTTCCCAAGCCTCCTTTTCCCCACCTGTTTGGCACGTACTGTGCATGCACACTCAGCATGCATTTGGTGTGCACTGTGCATGTGTGCGCTGCATGCATCTGGTGTGCACTGCGCATGCACACACTGTGTGTTTGGCACGCACTGCGCATGCACAGGTAGCAAACTGGTGGCAAACTGGGGAAGATTTCACCACTGCCTTACATGCAGAAAATAAAGAACTAGCACCAAACAAATTAGTAAATATGACATAAGATTAAAACACAATCCCTTTGGATAAAATCATTAAAAAAGGATTTGACTATACTATTAGGCAGTACACAAAGTAGCTTCCATTTTCTTACTTCATTGAGCCAATGGCATAGGAAATGTGAAAGGAATATAACAAGGACATATTCAGAATGTTAATTTGAAATAACAAGTCATAACTGCAACATATGCCATATATTCATTAGACTTTCCTCACTTGCATCTAACTGTAATACTAACATAGTTTCCTCCCTCCCTCCCTCTTTCTTTCTTTCTTTCTTTCTTTCTTTCTTTCTTTCTTTCTTTCTCTTTCTTTCTTTCTTTCTTTCTTTCTTTTCCTTATGAAGCTGCCTCATCTGATCTGAAATTTAAACTAGGACAGATATTACTTCTTCCCTCCTGGTCTCTATTCCAGAGTTATTCTTTTTTGTAGTAGAAGACTCAACGACTTTCAGACCAGGCTATCCCCAAAGGCCACCAGGTACAGATACAAGTGCAGGGACAATTATGCAGGAGGGCCCAGGCTTTCTTTCGTGTTTCATCATGCAGTCTGCTCCCACACTCACACCTGTCATGGTGGACTAGCAGTGGTGACAGAGTGTGGAGAGTAAATGAGAGACAGCCACTTTTCACCAGCTGCTAGTTGGTCATTGTGAGGAATATACTGCACATCTGGTGGACAAAGTCGTTCATAATCACTCTACATTGGATTCCAGTTTTAAAGCAGAATCGATGGAGGGAGTGCCAGTTATGTCTTGCAAAGAAGTTTTAAGCGGCATGATAGCATAATGTTGAAGATTCTCGCCTCTCAGAAGGTTGAGAGTTCAACCGTATAGGTAGGTAGCAGCAGATGTTTCTTTCTCGGAATTCCACATGGAATTCAGGAAGGGCATCAGAGCAATAAACACTCAGCTTCATTTAGTTGCCCCATCTCTACTCCGAATTAAGGGATTAGAGGTTCATAAAAAGGAAAAAAAGGTGTTTATAGTTTTAGAATTATAAGCTACCTACAGTAGTAGCCAAAATTGTGGAAACCTTTTGGGAAAAGTGTATTTTTGAAGTTTGGTGGCTAATAACACCACTTATTTTTGGAGTTTCAAGATAATCATATTCCACAGCTGGAATGGCCTGGGAATAGCCGAGACCTTTACCCAATTGAAAAGCTATGGAGCCAACTAAAGAAACTTGTTAGTCAGAAGCGACCCAGCAATAAAACCCAGTTAATAGAAGCAATCATTCAATCTTGGTTTCACATTATAACAGCTGCACGTTATAATAGAAAAGACTTGGTTCACTCCATGGGAAGACATTGTAAGGCTGTAATTCATGCTAAAGATTATCCAACTAAGTATTAACTGATGTGATAATTTTTGTATATCTCATTTTTTCTATGGTGATAATTTCTGTATATCTCATTTTTTCTACGTGTTTCACTTTTCTCCTTATACTGTAACTGTTATTCTAATAGCAAATCCTTCATAGAAATTATTGCATTACATTCTTGATTAAATTATCTTTCCATTGATATATAATTTTATGGTACTACTCCCAAAAAAAGTGGTGCTATTAGCTAGTTTTAGAAAATACATTTTTCCCAACTATTTCCACAATTTTGGCCACTACTGTACATTGTATCAATGAATACAGGGATTACCAGTGGAGGGGCAGATTTTTTATGTCAGTTTAGTTTTCTGCTGACAAAAGGAGTGGTAGGTAGCATTTTTAACTCAAAAATCCTTTATCTTAGCAGCAAGATGTCCTTTGAATCACACTTTGGGATCCTTTGTGCAACTGTTTGCTAACCTCTGTTGTGGAGTAAAGGCTATATATTTTTTAAAGTTTTAATTAAACATCCTTTCAAAAACACAAATCTCTTTACACTGGCATATTTCAAAAACACTGGATCTTCAAAAGGTCTTTTCTTTTGTTGACATTCTTACAAAGCACATCATAATTATGAACAGTTACACCCTCTCAGAATTGTTCATTCTCCAGGAAAAGAGCCCTTGTTTTCTTAATAAGAAGGAGGTACCAGTTTTATTACATCTGGCAAATGGTGTCTTAAGAAATTGAAGATTTGTTCCTTATGTCCACATTCAGACCTTTTCATTCTGCCTTCTGGTCCCTGCTGGGAGTATCCCACTCTGAACATCCTATGGTACTTACTGAAGAAGTCATGTGTTCACAGAAAACCCCCAAAAGCTGTTTCACAGCCTTACTGGCTTATTTTGAGGGGAGGGGGTGTCTTTGACTCAGTATGAACTCATGGCAATTGCCTGGACTAGTTCCTGCTCGTTTACTGGTAAGATTTTCAGAAGTGGTTTGCCCTTGCCTTCTTCTAGAGCTGAAAGGGGTGGAGTGGCCAAAGTCACGCAACTGGCTTTGCACCTGAGGCAATACTAGAATGCATTGTTGCCTGGTTTCTAGCCGAGTGTCTTAACCAATACATCAGCCTAGCTATCTCTTATGAATACTTAGCCACTTTACTTCATGTTTATTCATTTAACCCAATTCCATAATTTGCACATCATATTGAGCCCTCACTAACTACATGAATGTATCTTGTATAATATGCTAAGCTAGAATATGGTTGAATAATCCGTGAATCAGTGTGACATATGCACATTTGTTGGGAATTAAGGAACCCAACACATTTTGATCAGTAGCATATTAAAACATGTAGAGCTCTTCATATGTGCACCTTCCTTTTCTTTCGAAGAGCTGGAAATGTATTGATCCTTCTGCCCCCCCCCCTTTTTTTTTTTCATAGCACCTTTTTGAGGGTGGTAATTCTGCAAAATAATGACTGGTGCAAAGCTACACAATAAGTAAAGGGTGGCCCAAGATATAGATGTTAGCAGAACGGACAAGAGATGACAAATAATGGAATATCCATGCAACATATATGATGTGACTGATGCAAATTTTACAATTGAAACATTTCCACAGCAACATATGCAAATGTCACCATTTTTATGTAACTGTGGCTGTAAGTGACACCTATGGCCTAGAAGTAGTAAATATGGATATGGCTCCCAATAATCTGTGCCAGTCTACCAGTCTATTTTTCCCCACTATAGCTAGGAAGCAGGTATAGACAAGATGGATATCAATAGATACAATATAACACCTGAGCATTTTTATAAAGCCTGAGTGTAAATAATCATAAATGATCATATAAAATAAAAGCAAATTACTGCCAATTTCTGAACAGCTGTGGTTTGCTCAAGGGTACATAATTATTCAGATATCCTGTAGTTATTGATTGATTGCAGAAGGGGACTCGTCCTTGTTTCTATAAGGACATACTTTTTGCCTATTACAAAGTCTGCTGGAACCTTTCTCCAAACCAACAATTCTCAGTTTCCCTGCTGTCCTATTCTGTCATTAGCAAAAGATGAGTCTGCTTTCCCAGACGCCCCTTTGTGGTGATTTCGCTGAGACCACCCAGAATCAGTGAAGTTTATCCCCCAGCAGCTTGTTCCCTCCAAGAACGCTTTTCATTTAATCTTGTGAAATTGACTCCGGTCCCTTGATTTTTTTTTTTTTTAAAGCTCTGGCTCAGCCGTTTGTTTACAGTCCCTAGCTTCCCCCTCTTCGCATTGCTCTGGGCAAGTGTATGTTCAGTTCTTCGCTGATCGAGCGGAGGTAAGCTGCTCACACGGCTCGTTTTTTGGCTCCTGGGTTGGATTTAAAGGGAGAACTGGTGGAAACTTTTCCGGGCTTTTCCCTTCCCTTCCTAAATAAGCTTATCTTTAAACAGTAACTCCGGTTCTCGGTTATTGAGAGGGAACCAGAGGGGGGAAACTTCGAAAAGCGACCGTAGAGCACCGGGGAATTTCAGGGGAGGGATATTAAATGAATACGGGTTTTTATTGTGTTTTTTTCCTCCCTCAATAGCTGTAGGCAGTTCTTTAAAAAAAAAAAAAAAAAACTTTAAAAAGGAAAAGTGCTTCCAGATAGTTTTTACCTTTCCCTCCGAACTCTCTTTAGACTATATTTCCCCGACTTTTAGAGATATGACACTATAGTAATCGAAACTTTCCAATAACTGCGCTGCTTTCTTTCAATCTTAATATTGAAATAAATGCCCCGTAATACATTTTATTCATGCATTTATGCGTCTGTTTGACTGCGGATTATGAGCGAAGGGGTTTGATTTACAACTCTGGCCCCACTTTCCTCACTGATTTCCAAACCGCGTTGCCTTACATTATAGGATCTTAATTTTTACAATGGGGTTTAAAGACAGGCACGTAAAAGTTTGAATCGCACAACCGGAACTAGCTTTTGGAATCGTGCTTATAGTATTTCAACGTGCAGCGAGAACTAAAACTAGATTACGCAGATTCCCCTCCCCACCACCACCCCTAATACCTAGAGAAGGGCAAGAATATTAATATGGAAAATGTTATTTTCCTTTGGATTCTCTTTTTCTTGAAGACTCAGGTCTCTATAACCTTCTGAAATGCAACTAGAGTTAGTGGTGTAATTTGCATTTGAGTGTTACTTGACCATCCTGAAGTTGATGTCTGGACTATTGGAGGTGGTGTGTCATTCTGTACATCAGCTAGGTCAAGTGTAGTTGGGGGAAAAAAAATTAAATGCAAGATGCACCTAAATGAATGTTGAATTCATGCCGGATTGAGGAATGCAACAATGAGTCTCAGTGCACAAATTGAATTGTATGTCTACACATGATGAAGTTATTAAAATTTTATTTCTTTTCTCATAATATTAAGGTTGTACAGTACATGATATTTTGGAAGTTAAAACTATTTCAATGGAAGAAAGTTTACTTCTGAGTAAGAACATATAGCAGCTCCTTATAGTTACTAATAAATGCTATATTCAGCAAGGTTTTTCAGTCCTGATCCATCATTAATATTACTGTGTTTTATTTACTTTAAAGTATCCAGCCTTGAACATTCCTGGAAGCCATAACTTTCTTTTTAATCTTCTTTCCACAAAATGTCAGAGTTAATACTTAACAGTTCTTTTACTTTTTTTTCAATTCTTCAAATAATCTGGGGCCATATTTCATCTGGGATTGGGATCTGGTAAAATATTGTATAAACAACTCCCCCGCCCCCACCTGCTATAACAATTTCTGCTAAACATCACTAAAGATGACAAGTGGATTGATACTAGTCAGGATGTAGATTGTAGAAGTACCTAAAAGATTTGCAATTTAGCTAAGTAGAGATAAGTAGAGATAGAGAAAATGTTGGAGGCAGTAAAGGAATGAGTAAAGAAAGGTTTACAAAAACACACTGGAATTGTTTTCTCTGGCATGGAAGATCAAAGGGGAAAGTTGTTTTTGCAAGAAGATAATTCCCCAGTATAGGCTCTGTTCCTAAACTCTCTCATGCTTCAAAAGTTGCAAGCCTTGTTCAACCAAAGATGGGAAGAACATTAACAGTGCTACTAGGATATGGAGAATCATACCTCTTTCAAGAAAGAAACGACAATCCTGTTGTTGTCTCTTTCCATCCTTGGGCAGAGAAATATGTCTTCAGAAAAACCGAAAAAATTAGGAAATATTGAAATGAGGATTTCATGGCAGGAAAAAGATCAAAAGTTAATTTCCTAGTGTGATCCTCTCCAAGTTTCTTTGGTTCATATCAGTGAGACTTTGCTTCAGAATAATTCTTAGTTTTAAGTTTGCTCTATATAAAATGTGATCTTTATAAATGCATACAAGCATATGGATTTGTGAACTGATACAGTTAGAATAGAATAGGAGATACAGGTACGGAATCACAAGTATATTTATTCTCCTCTTGATCAGAATTAATGACTTTTTAAAAAAATTATACTGAAGTTGATTAGATGAACAAAGTTTACATTTTTTGCTTGTATGATTTTGATTATTTTTGAATATTTCATGCAGACACTGGGTTAGGCTCATAGTTTGGATCAGACGCATACAAAATTCTACTTAGTGATGCTGTGAATTAAACTCAATGTTTTGTGCATTCAAACTATGTGCTCTACCACAGAATAATGGCACTCCTTCTCTTTGGTTTTCAGAATGTGGTAAAAGCTGTCAAACAATTCAATATTTGGCCCAACCTTCTGCATGTTCCATGGTAGTTGTGGGTGTGTACTTCAGTACATTATAGATCTATCTGGCTTTCCCTTCAACGTCCTCTGTACTGATGGAGTTTATATTCTGCAATAGTGCTAAATCAGACATCACAAGTCAGGGCAAATGTGCTTTTTTTTGCCCTCACCATAGGTTCAATTGACTGGCCCAAGAGTACAGTATTCAAGGAGCTTTGTAGCCAACTGAGGATTGGCTGAATAACTGTCTGGATGACTGTCCAGAAGCTGTTCAGGAGCTCAGCTATTTCAGCATTCTATAGGTACATCATAAATAATATGTACACAAATGCACCTCACTTACTAAGACTTCTAGTCATGTATCCTTTATACTTGAGAATCAGCTTCTAATAAATTGTCTCGGAATAAACTGTAGGTATTTCAGTTCATCCTTAGACCTCTGCTGGATGTAGCTCGTCTCAGAGGTGGTAAAAGCCATGTATGAATGTGAAGAGACAGAAAATTGTGCATCCTTAGTTGTTATATCCCATTCTGTGCTTTTCTTTGAGTCAAGTTTGTCTTTGGTGATACTCTTAGGTTGTTGTAATATTAAGAAATCATTTTAACTGGAATGGCAGGACCATAAAATCATTTTTTTTAATTAAAATATTTGGCAGAATATTGGAGTATATCTCATAAAATGTGTTTAGATAGAAAATAATGTAGGTAATAATGTATGTAGCACAGTGGTGGGTTTCAACCGGTGTTACAACCGGTTCGCTTCGTGCACGCGCTCCATGCAAGCGCATTGCATTTCAGAACAGCTGAGACGCAGCAATTCGCTCTACAACGCCTATCAGCTGGGCTAAAAATGAAAGACTATAGGTAGGTATAGCGCAGGAGCAGGTGGGGGGGCCCAGTTGATGGTTGGAGCGAACTGGTTCGCTCTCAGCTCACCATCGCCGCTACCGGCTCACCTGAACTGGGGCGAACTGGTAGAAACCTACCATTGATAGAGCAACACCTAGACAGTTCAAAAAGTCTGGCATTAGATCCACATTCCCCTTATTGTAGTTGCCACACAGCCACACTTAGCAATCTTCTCAGATAAGAGCAGCCCACAAGTAGGAAATATACATCTTCCTCATTTGACTAGCTAGCTAGTCAGCTAGCTAGCAGGGACATTATAAATATGAAATGCCATAACTGATACCCGAAAAGAGTTGATCCTTCAAAAGAGGGAAAGAGATGATCTTTTAGGAAGCTGTGATTTTATCTGCCCTTCAGAAGCATAAATGTTGTACCTTTAAATCTAACCTGTGGAAAAGCTACTCTTTGCTTTGGGAGAACACACACTGAAATTAGAATTCGTTGAACATGTCTAGTCCTAAATTTCACCAATCTTTCAATTCTGTGAAATATAAGAACTTTATACCAGATCAGATAATCTGTCTGTTTAGCTCAGGATTTGTGGTTGTTGTTTTTTTAAGAAAGTTCTGAAAGGTTTTGGAAATAGAGATCTTTCATATAACTTCTTGCGTAATCCTTGAAACATGAAAGAGAAGTTAGGATAGATTATTAGTGTGCAAAGCCGCAATCTATGCATTCAGACCTTTTCCTCAAGGAGCCAAGATCTCTAAAAGGTTTTGTAAATCTGAATCGCCTTCTGCTAAGCTGAATGTGAATTTTGTGTGTGAGGAAGTGAGAGAGGGGGAAAGAGCAAGAGAGAGAGAGAGCACACAAGAACGTTTAATTGCTTAATAACCCCTAAACATAAAGCTAATTATGGGATGAGGACCATCCCCATCGCCCATGAATTACAATCTTCAAAATAACATGCGCACTTCCTTTTCTATACTGCTATTGCAGATGTCTTACTGCCATATAGCAACCATCCATGGGCAAGTGTTGTCCAGATGTGTGTACTACATTTCCCATCACTATAAGCCAGGGGCTACCCTAGCTGCAAACTATGAGAGTTATACTCCGATGCATCTGAAAATGCCAACAGGAGTCACATTCCTTGCGAAAATTCAGCCTTGTAATAAGGCAACATGGCTTTGATAAACCATGTTGCAAAAGAAAATATTTCAACATTACTATTCAAGGCTGTGTTTTTGAATACATCATTGACAATTACAGTGAGGATATCTGTCATCAGAAAACAGGATCAGCCCAGCATGGTATTTTGATCCAATGCAAGTAGTATGTAGGCAGTTATCCCTCTATCTCTTCCTCACATTTCTTGCTAGCCCTGGTCTGAAGCCTTGGCCTGCAGTGTTGAACTAGCCAAAGTGTCCTCTGGAGCTGTTCAGGCAGAGGAAAGGAATGTTGAGTAAGCTTAGTAGCAGATCTTTTGCAGGTTCAGAAGGTTAACCTGACTGCCTTGTGGTTTCACAGCTGTTGCTCTAGCTGACGCTGCTTTGGCTCTTCCTTGCTTAGGGAAATCATGGAAAGTGTCAATCTGGGATGTAGCTGTTAGAAATGCAGGTGTTCAAGAAAGTTTGTCATTTTTAATGGGATCAACTTGAAAGATAGCAGAGAGGAGGGTTGTCCTTTTTTCCTCTTCTATACACTGAAACTGACAAGCTCTTGCTTTCAAGACTGAGCAGGACAACCATTTGTCTCCATACCTGAAGCAACAAGCTGATTTAGCAAGCTAAGAATTAAACAATGAGGGACACAGATCTTTCTCACTTCACCATAACCTAAGATAGCATGGAAGAACAGGATGACAGGCTGAGAAATTGGCATCCTGCTCCTTGGTTTCTCTCACCTGAAGTAGTTATTTATTTCCCTTAAGGACAGGGCTGTATATAGTAGGTAGGGTCTACCTCACAGAGAGAAATGCAAGTGTTTTATTTTGAATGCTGTATGAAGAGAAGCTGCTCAAGTGATTTGTGTTTCCTGTTCCCTCTGGATCGCTGTCATATTCAAGGCCTCTCTGGTCAGATGAGCCAGGCTGAAAAAATTCTTTGGAGCAGTTGATGAGGAACAAACAAGGATGAAGTTACCAGATCAAATGGCATAAATAATGGAGCTTCTAGAGCTCTGGTGTCTATTCTGTGGAATTCTAATCTGGTGGGCTGAATGATGTTGAACTCTTCCAAAGAAAGGTAATTCCCCTGAAAAGGGAAATAACTGGTAGTGCTTACTTCCTGATTTTTAAAAAATCTTTTAACAGCAGGATTTAATTAACAAAAATTCCTCAAAACTGGTTGTGTTGTTCTTTTTAATTTGATTGATGTATGTGCTTGTTTGTCAAATATTGCCCTACCTTAAGAGCTGTTAGCTGTAGTCTGACTAATACATTTTGCACTGCACACTTTATTTAATAAACAGAAATCCTGAAATATACATATACATATACTATTTATGTGTATATATGTATATATGTGTGTGTGTATATGTATATATATGAAAAAAGCTTATGCTGTTGCTTATATTGAATATTTCTATCATTTATGTTAACTTCATCCTTTTGCAGTTATCATTCTATCCAATTTCTTTTCTCTAGGTCCCACTATAGAGTGTCTGGTTTTCACAGGAAAAAACAACACAAACGATTAAAAGCCCTCAATTTTTGCTGTTCATCAACTGCTTTGGAGAATAAAAGTCTGATTCACCGTTGCTTGCCAAATCAAGCCATGATAAATGTTTTACAGAAGAGGTTGGTGGAAGCTAGCTCTTGTTTGTGTGCATGAACAATGATAAATTATTATGGTCTTAGATCAGAAATAAAATAACTCAATATCTGAAGAAATAAATACATATGTATCATTCAATAGGCTTTTTAAACATGTTAAGATGAACAATCTCTGCCCTATATTTATCCATTTATGTTATAGTACAATATTTTATTTGTACAATCCTAACTTGCATTCTATCACAAGGAAATTTTTGTCATTCTTTGGATTTGAAGAAATTTTGATATTAGGGGGGTGTTCACACTTGCCCCATGGAAGAGGAAAAATATAAAACCATGCATCTGCAAAAAAGAGAAAGGAAGAATGCATTATAAGTCATATTTAAAGAGTGAAACCGTGACACTCCAATGCGTGTTTTATCTTGATTTTCTCACTATCAATTATTAAACAGTAATCTTTCTGGAGAGGAATAACTTTTGCTTAAAAAACTTTGCAGAACATGACATACATTGATGATGCTGAACGGATAATAAGTTAATAAAATTATTGAGGCCTCTGTGTTTAAGGATACTTTTAGTTTTCTCAACTGAAGAAGTGACAGCAGTATTGCTATGGATAGTAAAGATGATATGGTATAATAGCTAACTCAAGTTTTTTCATTGTGGTATGCAATAGACATATGACACTTCCACTGTAATTAAACCAAATCTATCATAAAAGTGTATCCAAGAGATTATCTAATTGACAACCAAGCCTGTAATCTCTAGGTTTGTTTTTAGGTTAACCTCATAGCCTGTATTGCTCACTTTGAGAGTTGACTGGTATTCTTTTTTCTTCTTTAGAAAGCAAAACGTTATTCATTTTTATTTGCTTTTTAAAAGATCAGATACACAGAAACTTATTTGCCAAAGATATTGAAGAGCTACTACCAGAATAGATGGATAAACTCGGATAGATGGATAATCTATGAGTCACAGCCCCAACTCGTGTAGGAGTTCACGTATTAGACTTGATGATTGCTTGGAACAAATGTGATATATAAATGTTAACATCTGCCCTTTAATGTGGTCAGATAACTCTCTAATTGCTATGAATCTGACCAGTACTACCAAACAGGAGGATAGGCTCATTTGATTGGCCTGGCCCAAGAACATAATGGATCCACTTGGTTTCCAAAGAATGCCTGGGAGGGATTTCTAAACACTGGTGGGTCTCTGTGCTGAAGTTTTGCTCTCCAGCTGGGAATACTTGGACAGCTGCAGCTTTGCATAGAATTGCACCTAGGCGGCCTCTTCCTGAACACCAGTTCATGAGCACTCCTTGGATTACTGAGAAGCTCCAGGATTACTGAGAAGCTCCAGGATTACTGAGAAGCTCCAGGAAGTGAAACAGCAGAGACACCTAAAGCCACATCAGAAAAAGACAAAGAGCAAACCTTTTTGGATCTTATAAGAGTGTAGCTTGATCTTACATGTGCTAATATGAGTGCTAAAATATCTATTATTGATCCATAGTTTGCTATTCAGTGGCCTGTTTAAAGTTACCCTTACCATATTAAGTAAAGATGAGAAAAATAAAATAAAATCCATTTGGAATTGGGTGCTAAATAGGCAGATCCTATTGAGGTAACTAAGAGTGTTCCTTGCAAGGTTAATCCAGAGAGTTTGATTCTTTTGGTTCTGAGGAAGTGGATAATGTTCTTCACAGTATTGGCTCTGACCCTTGTGGTTTGGGTGCCTGTCTTTCTGCTTGGTGACAGTCTACACGGAGCTATCAGGTGACTGGGGCTGGGTAGTGGTAAATACACCCTTGAGAGAGGCAGTAGTACTCCCTATCTTTAGAAAGGTAGTATTGTACCTTTTTAAGAAGCAATATAATCTAGCTATATTGAATAACTGTTGTCCAGTCTCTAACATTCTCATTTTAGGGAAGGATATTGATAAGATTGAAGAATAGTGGAGGAAATAGATTGTCTAGATGCTTTTTCAGTCTTATTTCAGGCCTGTAAATGAGCCTGGGATAGTGAAAGTGTGACGCTTATGGTATTGCTGTACCTTTATATGGCTTTTGAGACTTCTGTTTATTGTAGCCCGACTTCAAGAGTTAGGCGTAAGGGACATTATTTTATTGTGGTTTTCCTCCTTCCTGAACGGGAGTTTTCAGTCAGTAGTAATACTTGATACTTTACCCCTCCTATTTAATATAATAATTAATTATATAATATTATATATTATAATAATATATTTAATATGTTAGTTTTTAAAATTTTAATATTGATTTTAAATTGACAAGTTTTAAATTGCGGGCCAAATTTATAAATTATTTTAACTCTATTTTTAACTGTAATGTTATGTATAGATGTTTTTATTTTGGCTGTTCACCGCCCTGAGTCCGAAAGGAGAAGGGCGGTATAGAAATTTGAATAATTAATTAATTAATTAATAAATAAATAAATAAATAAATAAATAAATAAATGAAGCTGCTGCAGAGGATATTCATTGGCATAGAGTCACATATCATCAGTATGCTGATGATGCTTATCTTGACATTGGGCTGAACAAGAAGTCTTGTCCTAGTCCTTGAAAGTTAATTAGGATCTGATAAAGAAAGCTCAGTCATGACAAGGTAGCAATGGACATGGAGAATTTTCAGTACCAGAGACCTATACTTCCTTTTTTAAGAACTGGCTCATAATCTGACAGTCCCTCTGGACCTCCAGCTTCTGACAAAGAACCAACGGCAAATGTGACCAGGTTACGTCTGGTATGTCAGATGATCTCAAGACTGACAGACATTATTCTGGCTCACTTGTAGCTTAGCCACTTATTACAGAATTACTGCAATATATGTGGGGCTTCCCTTGAAGAGACGCTTAGATTGATTCAGAATGCATTGACTGCATTAGCTTGAATAGTGGCAAATAGTGGCATAAAATTTTTAAATTTTATATTGTATGTGTTTTATCTTTGGCTGTTCACCTCCCTGAGTCCTTCGGGAGAAGGGCGGTATATAAATCCAAATAAACCTAAATCTAAACCTAAAATATTTTAATGCTGAGATTATTCCTAATTAGGGTATAAATAAGGGTGTTGGTCCAACTGGGTATTTGATTCTGCTATCTTAAATTGGAAATATTTTTCTCCCTCTGCTTACTTCTTTTCCACTGAGTTTTTCAGGCTGGCTAGGGAAAGTCCCAGTGCTTTTGTAAAAGCCAGAATTAGCAGGTGTTGTAAACATTCATGCTCCCTGCTTTTCTTCTATCTGGAAGGAAATGACTGTTTGCAAATGACTGGGAGAAGACTGCACATACAAACAGTAGGGGATCAGTTTGTCTTTTGTGAGCTGTGCAGTCTAGTAGCCTGAAAAATCACAAATAATTTTCATTGTTGTATTGCTGGAAACTGCCTTAAGGTTTGGAAAGGCCCAGAGTAAATGTTTTCAATAAGTAAAAGATACCTGCAAAGTATATGGTAGTTAGTTCTATGGAGGCTATGGACCTGAATAAGTTAAAACGTGACAGTTTTACATCAACTCTTTCTCTTTTCTCCTTGATTTCAGTGGGATCAGTAAAGACAAAAACAAATTTTATGTGATGATCATAGATCAACCCATATTTCTTTAATTGTTTCAATTAAAGTCTGAATCAGAAACTTCAGGTTCAATTAAACAATTCCACAGCAATCACTACAAAAGAACATAATGCTATTACGTTCCTAGTATGTCCTATTAAAAATCCAAACTTGTATAAATAACCTAAAATACATTAATCAGAATTGGAGCCAGTGAAATTTTGTAGACAAGGAACATTCTATATTTGGATTACCACAGCTAACCCAAGCCCTTCCCAACAGTCCTACATAATACATAGTATAAATTATAAAAAAAAGAGCAATGACCATCAGAAGAAGTGATCTACCACAGTTCATGGAGAAAAAAAGATCTTCAGCAGAGGTCCTTCCCTTCACTAGCTGTCTGATACATTGTGTAACTAGAGACACCAGAGTTTGTATCTTCTTAACTCTGCATGCAAAATACTATAGATGTGCTATGGAGCAAGCTGGAACTATCCCTGACCTATACCGGAGCTGTAGAAGAAATTGCTGGTCTTGATACTTTTTTTTTTTTTTGGTATCTTTCAATATTATGATACCTTATGCCATAATATTTAGATGGTTCCTAACCTTTTTTTGGCCATGCCCCCACCTAAGCATCTCTAAAATCCTGATTGCCCCCCCCCAGTGACATATAATTCTTAATATTCAAAAAGTGAACTCAGACAGAGGAAGCCTAAAAGGCCATTAACTTGGTTTAAACAAGATTCCAATTGCCCCCATTAAAAATCAAATTGTCCCCCTGTGGGGAATGGGCCCCACATTGGGAACCACTGATTTAGATGAACACCAGTTGCATTTATGTTGAACAATTCCAATGATTGTCCTGTTAACCCTTCAAAAATATTTCCTTATGCCATTTTTGCTACTCAATCTATACTCTAACACACAATTATTGAATTACAACAAATGAATTACTACAAAACTGTAGTAGAGAAATGTCTTGAGTTTTAAGTTAAAAATGTAAAAAACACAGAAGATGGCTCCGAATTGCATTTGAAAGATTCGTTTTCTCCTAGTTTTCAACATAGGCAAATGACGGAATTTGCCAATTACTCCCAGGTTAGGAATAATAGCTGTGGGGGGGGGAATTATTCCTCTCTCCCAATGGTGAACTGGAAGTGGATTATGGTTTTAACATTATCGAGGAAAGAATAAGGAGGACCAGAGTTATGGCAGATAAGCGGATCCAGGTGATTCTTGGATTTGTTAGGATGCTGCAATGGGTTTCATGTTATTCTAAGACTTTTATGGCTTATAATGCAGTTTATTTTCTCATTTTGAAATGCCATCAACCCTGGGTTAGAAAGGACTCTAGGAGTTAAAAAGATGTAGGGCTGCAGATTGTCCATCCTGTTTCTAGAGGTAGTCCAGAAATATTCATGCATTCAAATCCATTTCCTTTTCACAGCTGAAACCTTTCAAACAACACCCAAGCCTCAGCATTGATGCAAGAGAAGCTAGTCAAACATTGCAAGATGACAGACGAGCCTATTAAAGAGATCTTGGGAAGTTCCAAGTGTCCTCAGTGTGCAACGCAGGAGAAAAGCAACAACAATGACTACAGGGTAATAGCTGTCCCTTTAGTGAGCGAATGCCAACTGACGGCTGCTACAGGGGGAGCTGAACTCTCCTGCTACCGCTGTACAATCCCATTTGGGGTGGTGATCCTCATTGCTGGTGTGGTCGTCACTGCAGTGGCATATAGCTTCAACTCCCATGGATCCATCATCTCCGTGTTTGGTTTGATTCTCTTGTCATCTGGACTCTTTTTGCTGGTGTCAAGTGCATTGTGCTGGAAAATCCGCCAGCACCACAAGAAGACCAAGAGGCGTGAAAGCCAGACAGTTCTAGTGGCTAACCAGAGGAACCTGTTTGCTTAAGAACTACATTAAAAAAAAAAACCCTCTAAAAAAAGACAGAGAGAATGCAATGGGTCACAGTGCACAAATCTATTTATTTTCATTTGGGCTACAGGATGTCTTTTATTAATGACTGTTTGGATTTATCAATGTTAAGTAAAGAGTTCTTGCAAAATCAGGAATAATTGGTATCCGTTTTATCATAAACATATTTCAAGGTGAATTAGGTTTAGTAGTTTCTTCCTTCCATTTAGTCTCCTATCGGCATTTACCCCTCTCTCCGTTTATATTATAAACTTAAAAGCAAGATAAGCTAAGGTGAGAAAACCTGTTATAGTCAAAGATAGCAGTAAGCAATTGATAATGTATATATGCCCATAAGAACAAGGTAATTCTTTGTTAACAGCTATCTCTTTTCATAGAATTATTTGTTTCAAGTATATATATATATATATATATATGTAACAAGAGCTTACCTTGAATTACTTTCCTAAGAAGCAACTTTTGAAAGTGATTGGGAAGAGGAGCCTGTGAACAATTCTATCATGGCTAATAGTTGCAAATAAATCTGTGTCACTATAGTAGTAAATAATTCTATATTTTTCTGTCCTACAAAAGGCAGGGAAGCACCTAAACTTTAGCTGTTTTTCTACTCCAGATTTCCCTTGAAAAATCAGCTTCTACCTGTTGTTTACCTTGGTGTGGAACAAAGAGGTCCTGGTGCCTCAGTACCATCTCCCAAACTGAAAATAGCAATTTCATTGCATGCTTCATTGATTAGCATGTTTGCTTGATTTACAAAGAGTTGCAAATAAAACAATTCCCTTTTTTCCTTCTCCACCCATTTGGAAAACCCATCTTGAAATGTTATTTGCCTCCCCGTCCTTATGCATTGCCTCTACTTACTGCCCTCCTCCTCAGCTCCGTCCTCTGCACCAAAGATTTTTGTTGTTGTACTCCAAGTTATTCCGAATGCTTGGATAATGTTGGAAACAGGAAATGTCAGGAAAATTGAGAAGACGATCAGAAAACACCTAAAAGTGCCAAAAGCCTGCTCATGGCTTTCTCCTCCGATTTTGTGGCATTACGTTTTCAATAGATGAAAAGTTCGCGTACATATTTCATCAACTTATTTTTTTAAGGCCTATAGTAGCTGCATTAGTGAATTCTCAGATCACTTCTCTACTCTTGTTTTGTTCCTAAGAAATTTATGGTACTTTTTCAAGAGAAATATTGAACTTTTTAAAATTTTGGGTGCTCAGGGGAGGGGGATTAATACTTAAGAAATAGTTAATCTCTATGCTTATTAGCCCAAAGTAAACAAAATATCTGTATAGCTAAAAGTGACTTTTTTCTATAAATTTCATTATTATAATGCTCTCATACTTAGCACTTTGGGGTGGTTTTGATATTTTTTTAATGAACCCTTCATTTTAAAAATAATAAACAATTTCTGCTGCTAGAGCTTCACAAGGTTTAGTTATTTCTATTCTGATCTGGTACAAGTAATCCTCTGCTTACGACCACAATTTAGCACAAAATGTATGTTGCTAAGTGAGAAATTTGTTAAAGGAGTTTTGCTCCATTTTATGACTTTTCTTGTCACATTTGTTAACTGAATCACTGTAGTTGTTAAATTAGTAACACGGTTGTTAAGTGAATATGGTATTCCCGTTGACTTTGCTTGTTAGAAGGTTGCAAAAGTGATCACATGACCTGGGATACTGCAACCATCATAAATGTGAGTCAGACATCAAACATCCGAATATCAATCACATGACCATGGGGATGCTGCAGTGGTCATAAGTGTGAAAAATGGTCATAAGTCACTTTTTTCAGTGCGGTTGTTAACTTCAAATGGTCACTAAATGAACAGTTGTAAGTCGAGGACTACCTGTACTGATCCATCCCAGAAGACCAGTATGGATATGAGTGATACGAATGCACAGCCAGAGACGACTTCAATGTATTTTGTTCATCCCTGCCCCACTGAAATTCTAAGGAACACGTGAAACTAGAGAGGAAGAACATTAAACTATGCAGATGGAACTTTTATCCAGTCCCTGAAAGCTTGTACAATTACTGATTATTAAGTGCAGTTGAACCTCTAAAAGTTTGCTAATGTTGAACTTTCTCTTCTGCATCTTTATTTAAGAAATGTATGGGGCAGTGTATGCAAAATTTATGTTAAAAACTTAAAATACAATAAAAGATCCTATGAACCAAGCCTAAAGCGGTAAAATTTCAAAAAGCTGAAATCAAACACAAATTGAAATAGTAACATGTATATACAAATTAAATGCATTAAATGCAAATAAAATGGTTCTAGCAGATCATTGAATTTAATTCAGAGTGGATGCTAGCCATATTTCCCTTGTAAACCAAGTGATGCTGTGGCTGTGCTTTCACAGTACCTAGAGGCTGTAGGGGTCTGGATGGGGGGCAATAGGCTGCTACTGAACTTTGGTAAGATGGAGTAGTTGTGGAGGTTTTGGATCCAGAGGTTTATCATTGTTAGTTCTGGATGGAGTGGCTCTACTCCAGACAGACCTGACATGCAACTTGGGGATTTTCCTAGACTCATGACTCCTGCTCAACGAGCAGGTGGCAATCGTGATTAGAAGAACCTTTGCACAATTTGGGGTTGTGTGCCAACTGTACCCTTGTCTGGATTGTGAGGCCCTGTGCTCAGTGACTCATGTTCTGGTCATCTGCCATTTGGATCATGGACTCTACGTGGAGCTACCCTTGAAGGGTATTCGGAAGCTACAATTTGTTCTGCCTCAGCTCCGGATTCCCAAGGATTGTGACACACACCATATCAAAGTTATAACATACCAAGAATAAACAAAGTCCAGCAAAGGTTGGCAACCAGCCCAGAAAACAAGATACGATAAGACATTCACTCTCCAAAATGCTCTGTAATAATTACACATTGTTTCCAGCAAGAAATTACTAACTGCGTGCGACTTAAATAGGCTAAGGGAGTGGCCAATTATCCTCAAACCTTACTCTCAAGGAGACCTCCTCCTCCTGAGTAGCCACTCCTGCCTTTTGGCAGCCCTGCGTGCTCGAGCATTGAGGAGAGGCTCCTCCACTTCGCTCTCTCCACTGGAAGGAGCCTCTGGAGGTTCTGAAGGCCCTGACTGAGTCTCTGCCTCTGGCACCACATCCTCTCCAGCCTCCTCGCTGTCCAACGCGAGCGCTGGCTGCGCAGGCTGCTGGCGCGACCCCACACCAGTCTCCTCGTCGTCAGGATCAGGCACAATCCGCACAGGCCTCTGGTGGGCCACAACACAATTGTTCCAGAATACAACAGTACGGACAGTTTTGAGGCTCCTAGGGTAGCACATGTGACATCACTTTGCACTGGCTGCTGATCTGCTGATCTGCTTTCAGCTAATTCAAGGTGTTGAATTAACTATCTTTAAAACCCTTTATGGCATAGGTCCATGATATCTGAGGAGCCATCTTTCCTCAATGGGTTTGGTTCATTCTCCACACGCTAGTAAAAGTATCCTATTGCGGACCCCATGAGGCAAGGAATTGCAGCTGGGGGGGGGTCCAGGAGAAAAGTCTTGTCTGTCCCTGCCTTTTGGAACATCTTGCCACTGGGGGTGAGATCTATCCCCCTTCTTCTGGCCTTCAGGAAATGCCTTAAAATTTGGCTATGTCAGTTGGCATAGGAGAAGCTGTTGGCTGAGGGTGACTGGTGTAGTAACAGAGAAGCTCATTGCCTAATTTCGTATACCCTCAACCTAATTTCAACAGCCTCTTGCAGGAACAAAGTTCAGATTTGGGGTAAATGATTTCAACTTTCCCCTGCAGCCTCCTCTCTAGGAGTAAAAGGGCAATAGAGAAACTGAAAAAGGATGCCAGAAACATGATGGCCCTACTTCTCTCACTGTTGCTTTGCCATTGAACTTCACTGATGTAATCTGACTCCCAACCAGACTATGCTTGCAGAGATGTGTTGCTTGGTCAAAAAAAAATTGTCCCCCAAAATACAAAGCATGAACCTCAGATGCATATAAATTCTTGTACCCCAAAACAACCCTTGAGGTGAGAGACAACATTGGTCTCGGAATTCTGTTTCTTCTATCTCTCTACATGCCAAAGAAGCTGTAATTTGGGGTATGTCCAGGACTTGAGCAAAAGCATCTCAGCCTATTTCCAGTGTTAAGACTCAGTTCTGTGGCATGTTAGCATGTTAAGTAGTAACAACAGAGTCTATCCGATCATGTTCAAAGTGTCATTCCTTCCTCAGTGTGTAAGATTCATCTGGGAATAGACTGAAAGTTTCCAAACTAAAGGATGTGACTTGGGTCATGACATCCTGCACTGTAAGAACGTAATAGAGAAAAAAAAAATCCAAGGTGTTTGTGAAATTGGCCATTGTAGTCCTACATTTTAAAGATAGAGCCATATGGTTGATTAAGAATCTGCTCTCCTACAGATAGACGTAAATCTGTGGCTCAGTTGTGTATACAACTGAAATGTCCTATTTGTTGTCCAATAGAATTTGCTTGTAAGTAAATGTGAATAGGATTGCAACTTTTAAATTACGAGTGCTGTAATGCTCTGTGTCTGGAGAGCAGGGGTGAAATGTAAAATTTGTTACTACCGGTTCTGTGGGCGTGGCTTGGTGGGAGGGGGTAATGTGACTGGGTGGGCGTGGCCAACTTTTTTATTTTTAACTTTTCAAAGCATTTTTTCTGCAAATGCAAAAAAATGCTTTGAAAAGCTCTGCCGATCAGGAACACAGCTGGGATCGTCAGAGCCTTTTCAAAGCATTTTTTTAACCACCTCTTCCGCTGAAGAGGTCGCAGGAAAAAATGCTTTGAAAAGCCTCTGAGATGCCAGCTGAGCCGCGTGATCATCAGAGGCTTTTTTTTTACTTTTAAAAGCATTTTTTTGGCAGAAGAAGTTGTAGAAAAAATGCTTTTAAAAGTAAAAAATTAAAAAAAGCCTCTGATGATTGTGCGGCTCAGCTGGGCATGGTGGAGGGTGGGGGCGCAGGGATTTTTGCTACTGGTTCTCCGAACCACCCGCTGCCATCGCTACCAGATCGGGCGATTCGGTCCGAACCGGGAGCATTTCACCCCTGCTGGAGGGATATAAAATCAAGCCCCAGAAATTTCCTCTCAGAATATTACTGGCTTTCTCCAAATGAAGGAATGGTGGAGGTACATCATTGCATGAATAACCCCAACCCTTTTGTTAAAAATGTGCACATGGAAACAGTGCTCACAACTGAGACCCTAGCCTTCTAAAGTGCAAGCTGTGATTTAAATAGAGCAGCAGCTATACATATGGGAGGGGATGTTTAGACTCAGTATTTGTGTTGCTACACTCCACAGTTACCAGACACTATAATAAAATCACTTGCATCAGAGGAAAGCTGACCACACATTTTAGCACTTTTCATAGCTCGAACTTAATCACGGCAGGAAGCTTTCCTGCTACTGGGGGAACATATTGCGTCATTAGAACATCTGACACGGGTATCTTATGTCAATCACTTTGCTTAAGGTCATTAAAAATATTAGGGGGTGTTCTCTTACAATATAAAGCTGTGGCACAGAGTGACAATTAGCAGGACATACAGCATTGCTAAATCAGTGGACAGAGGATTTTAAAACCCACTCTTATTCAGAATGAGGGCAGTGGTTATCATCTGCAAGGCAAAGGGTGATCCTCCCATACTAAAGCAATAATTCTGATCAAGCTTCAACTAGGGAAACAAAGACAGCATGTTCTGGCTGTAATATGCTTTTTCCCCCCCTGCTGGAATTTTGTTTAGCCCAGCAATTTGACTGTGTGTATTGTAAAATTCAGGTGCACTGAAACCACCAGTCAACCATCTGAATCGCACGTGAGTATAGAAAACAGAAATACTTCTCCTAAGGATAATATGAGAGAATGAGCCTTTTTTTTTTTTTTTTTTTTTGGACCCAAACTTTCAGCCCCATATCATTCAAGGCTTTTCAGGTTTGGTTCAGGTTTCAAACTCCTGAATGACATGGTGGGTCAGAGGTGATTGAACAAGAACCCTTATGCAGATATGTGTAACGGACAGTAGCCCTTTTGCAACATGTATGTTCTGCTAATTGTTCCTCTGTGCCACAGTTTTAGATTGTAAGAAACACCCCCTAATATTTTTAATGACTTTAAGCAAAGTGATCTCTTGTTGGCCGTTTATTTAGGCAAAATGAGTATAAGAAGCATAATTCAACAACAAATGAATTAGGGAGGGATGATTGCTGGAAATGAAGTAGCTTCCTATGCACTGGTGGGCTTGCTCAGGAAGAGCAAATGGGAGGGAATTTCTTTTTCAGATGTCATTTAATTCTTTGTGAATGTTCCCTTCTTTGTTGGCCCCATTGAAAGAAATAATACATCCAAAGGTATTACCTAGTCCCACTCAGTTCCACTCTGAAATTCCCCCAACCAGATATATTTACATCTGGTAATGGCCCTGTCTGATTCACAGAATTGAAGGGAGTCCAAATAATGGCACCTTCCAATTTAACTACTCTACTCCCTATCATATTTTTTGACTTTACCTTCATGGAGACAATGTTTTAATCAGGAAAGGGCAAAAATAACTACCTGATGTGTCTTTTAATTGCCTGAACTAGAGCTGTCAGCCTCCAAATATTCTAACTGCCCACCTCAAAGTGGCTATCACAGAAGTGCTCCCAAAACAAACTGGCAGAGGGAATAATCCTTTAAACGTATCCCCAAATTATGCTCATTATTTATCCTTGCTCGATTATTAATTTCTGCGTCTCGGTTTCCATGTATGCCAAATGATATTAACTTGTTTTCATATTGATTCCACTAGGATCTCTCTGGTTCAGTACATGATTCACCAAATGGACAGAGCCATATACTATGAAGAAAAATCCACCCTACTTCCATTCAGGAATCAAATATTCTAAAATAGAATCTCCTCTGCATTGGATAAAGCTGGGTTATCAGAAAGATTTCCCCTCTTCTCCTAAAAAAAAAAATCAGAGATGAGCATTCCCACTCAGTTAGATTCCCTTTCTGTCTCAAGAGCTCACTTTGTGAATTGAATTAACAGCTTTCCTGGAAAACTGGCTCATGACATGATTTCCTTGTGAACTCCATCCACCTGTCATGTCAGAGTTTGGAAAGCTGCCAGAATTGGCAGGAAATAATAGGCAGCAGGATACTGGTGTGTGTCAATGGCCCTGACC